TGATCATCACCACCAGCAACTTAGCAGGGGCTCAAAAATGACAAGTATCACCCCTTTGTCTCAGTTCCTTCCGTCCTTAATGGCCTTGGCCTTGAATGAAATCCCAGAACAATCTTTTCCATGATAATTCTTGAGACATCTGCATCCACTAAAGATGTGCAATCTAGCATTGCTCACTACTGTTTTTTCCTGTTCTTATTTCCTTAGTGAGCCGGCTACCCCCACATACATGGGGTCTAGTTCAAGTAAAACATGGCTCACTCAGGACACACAGGATATACTCAGAAAAAGAACACCAGAGAATGCTGAGGCAGTGTTTCTGCACTTACCACCTGGCTGTGGACCCCAGGGAAGCTATTTGCTGGGGGAATCACACAGCTTGGAGAAAAACCATCTAAGAGATCCAAGAAAAAGTGACACTAGGCCCACACGTTCTACACATTGTTTGCTAATTAAAAGTTCACTTCAACTTAAACTGGGGACTGGGCAGAGCTTGGCTCACCAACAAGTTTTCATACCTAGTTACTATTCGTAAGACAGATTTTCTCAGAAGGAATCTACCTGTCTACCCAGTTACATATTCCTGCCTCACTCAGAGCTTAGGTATCCTGACGCTCAAGAAAAAAAGTAATCAATAGTTCAGTGCAGATAAGGTCCTTTGGCTACACAATTCCAGATGAGCTGAGGACTTAACTTGGAAACATTCTATAGAAACATTAAGTCAACACCGTGGCTCCAGCAGCCCTGAATCACAGAATTTGGGGAGTCTACTGGCTTTATCTGTGTTCTGCCGCTGTTCTGTAAGACATCTGCAAGTAGGTTTCAATTCACAGGATAGGCTGTGCTTATGCCTGATGACTCACCTGCCTTCTGCAACAGCAGCCATGTCCTTGAGAGGGACCAGTTTCAGGTATTAACTACATCTTCATTACATAAGGGCTTTTAACATACACTGCTGAGATGGAACTCTGCCCGCGTGACTGCACCCAGAGCCTCTCCCTTACTTCCCTGTGGCTATACCCCACCCAGAGCTGTACCTTCCATAACTTGCTCATTTTAGTGGCCACCTGGAAGACACTGGTGGCCCTGCAGAAATCCTTTGTTTATAAGAACACTAAATATCATCAAATCGGAGGTGCCCACTTCCACATCTCTGAAACAGGATGTGCCTTCTCACCAACTTAGTCAGGTTTTTACTGGAAGTAGCTTTTCTTTCTTAGATATACATAAAATACTGGTGCATATTACAACCACTGGCATCTGACAGTCAATGGAATATGATGGGCACATATCTGAGCAAAGTGTGTTGAGAGTGGACACCTGTTACTTCATTCCTAATTCTCCACTAGCTGCAATTATGTTAAATCTGCAGCCTAGTCTAACACCTCTCATTCCAACCCCACCCCACAAAAGGGGACTTCAAAAAGTTCATAAAGCCAGTGCCACGGCTTACTAGGCTAATCCTCCGCCTGGCGGCGCTGGCACACCAGGTTCTAGTCCCGGTCGGGGCGCTGGATTCTGTCCCGGTTGCCCCTCTTCCAGGCCAGCTCTCTGCTGTGGCCCGGGAAGGCAGTGGAGGATGGCCCAAGTACTTGGGCCCTGCACCCCATGGGAGACCAGGAGAAGCACCTGGCTCCTGCCTTCGGATCAGCACGGTGCGCCAGCCGCGGCGGCCATTGGAGGGTGAACCAACGGCAAAGGAAGACCTTTCCCTCTGTCTCTCTCTCACTGTCCACTCTGCCTGTCAAAAAAAAAAGTTCATAAAAAACATAATTTTAAAATATTCAGTGCAAGAATTTTTTAAATCCACAATTTTTTCATAATATATATTTCATGAACTTTTTGAAGATCACTCATACACAAATTTCAAAGATATTCTGTGCCAAAGTAAACTTATTTTTAATTCCAGTCTTCATGAACTTTTGGAGAGTATCTTCTTATTTATATATATGTACATATATAATTTTTATACATCTGTTTAGTCAACAAATGCTTATACATGTATTCAGTTGTCAAATATATAGTAATTATTTGTTCTATGCCAGGCACTGAGCTATTTGCTGTGAAAATAGTAGCAAGTATGACATAGTCTTGCCTAATTTAGTCAATATATTGGTAGGAAGCTGTATTTTCCCGACTAAACAATACTTATCAAGATATAGGCTTTAGGGGTTAGCACTGTGGGATATAGCAGGTTAAGCCACTGCTTGCGATGTTGACGTCCCACATTGAAGTGCTTGTTCAAGTCCTGGCTGCTCTGCTTCCAATCCAGCTTCCTGCTAATGTGCCTGGAAAAGCAGCAGAAGATGGCCCAAATCCTTGGGCCCCTACACCCATGTGGGAGACCCGAATGGGATTCTTGGCTCCGGGCTTTGGTTTAGCCCTGACCTGGCTATTGTAGTCATTTGAGGATTGAACCAGCAGATGAAACATCTCTCTCTGTGACTCTCCCTCTCTGTCATTCTGCCTTTCAAATAAATAAATGAAATTTATTTATTTGAAAAAAAAAAAAGGTATAGGCATTAAAAACTGCAAGCTGTGAAAAACATGATATGAATAATAATTAGATTTTTTAAGTTCTAAGAAAAAATAGTTTTTAAAAATGGTTAATTGATTTATTTGAAAGGCAGAGAGAGAGAGAGAGAAGAAAGAGAAAGAGAGACACCATCTGTTGGTTCATTCTTCAATTGGCCACAACAGCCGGGGCTGGGCCAGGCCAATGCCGGGAATCAGGAACTCCATCTGGGTCTCCCATGTTGGTATCAGAGGCCCAAGCACTCGGCCCATCTTCCAGTGCTTTCCCGGGTGAATTAGCAGAAAGCTGGAGCAAAAGTAGAGCAGCCAGAACTTGAACTAGAGCTGATATGAGATGCCAGCATCCCAGGCAGCAGCTTAACCCACTGTGCCACAATGCCAACTCAAGGAAAAAACAATTTTTAAAAAGTGATATAGGGGAAACTTGTAAGTTAAAGAGAACCTTAAGGAAACATATCCAAAAATCACATGTGTATTTTATATGGATCTCAATTCATGGAAACAAATTATACTGAAGTTACAACATTTATGAGAAAACTAGAAGTCTGAACACTGGCTGAATATTTCAGGACACCGAATTATTGTTAATTTTTTTCAGGTACAGTCATGATACTGTGATACTGTTAAAGAGCACTTGTTATATATATATGCGTGTGTGTGTGTATGTTATTATATACACACATATATACAGTGAAATACGTATGGAAGAAATAATGATGTTTGGAATTTCTTCATCATGTTAAGCTGAACCTATAAGAAAGTATTTTTGTCAGTCAAAAATGGTAGAATATCTGTGAATTCATATTGGAGACTTGGAAGTAGATAAAAGTAATAATGAAAGAAAATTGGCCAGGGGTTGATTAATGTTGAAATTTGGATGCTATTCTATGGGTTAATTTTACTCATTCACTTTTTCTATGCATATGAAAGAGTTACCACAAGGGGTGGGCGTTTACGGTGAGGATGCCCACATCCCACAGGGGAGTACCTGAGTTTGATTCCCAGCTCCAGCTCCTGCCTGAGGCCAGCTTCTGGCTCAAGCAGACCCTGGGAGGCAGCAGGGAAATGGTTCAAGCAATTGGGTTCCTGGCACCCACGTGGAAGACCTCTACTGAGTTTCTGGCTGCAGCTTTGGCGCTAGCCCAGCCTTGACCTTTGCAGACATCTGGGGATATCCAGTAAATGGAAGCTCTGTCTCTTTCCCTCTGCCTCTCATAAATAAACAAACTTTTTTTTTTTTTTGAAAAATGTAAAACAAGATTAGGTCCTAAGTCTATGCTATATTTAAAATAAGTCAGAAACTAAAAATACTGAAAGTGAAACTGGAAGTATCACAGCTAAAATACTCTGCCAAAATTATATATTTTCCATTGTAGAGGTTATTATCTTTGAAACTTTAATAGTTTACCTAAGTTTTTTCTTAAAATCTGACTACCTTCATAAATCTGACATTGTATCTGAAATAAATTATTCCCCATTTTTCCCAACCATTTCAATCCACAGGCTTTTAAACACTGGACTGTCAGGACAGTTTGTTTCTATTTTTTCTTCAACAGTTACTCCAGATTATAAATCAGAATACTCGGCATCTTCAAACTCAGTTCTACATAACTATGTGACCCTGGGCACCACGTCACTGAACTCCTGCAAGCAGAAGCCAGTGAACCAGGGTGCAATCCGCTTGGCGGTCCAGGCGTCTACAGCGTCTGCTCTCTGCCGAGTAGCTGAAGCTGGTCTCCTGTTCTACATGGGGTATTTGGCTTTTTTCTCACCATTCAGCAAGGCTCACCTAATCCATATATAAAGACCCTCAACCTATAGGAAGTTCAGACTGCACAGCCAACCAAAAAGCTCCTGTGTGTTCCCCTTCTCCCTCTTTCTCCCCTGCACCCTCTCTCTCACACAGACACAGACACAGACACATATCAACCTTACAGACAGCCCTGGGGAGTATGAGGTAGTCCACAGTCAGCAGGAAAACAACTACCGAGAGCCATACTACTTGAGTGTTGACCTCCCTCCTGTGACCTCAGCCTACTGGCCTGTGATGGAATACATATATATAACAGTGTATTTTAATAGAAGCACATACCATGCATCATACATTAAAATATATTTAATAGCCGGAAAATATACTTAATATCATCAGACTTATGTCTCCAGCTGGTTGGCTGGATGCAGGGACTAAGTGGCCAGCTGGCAACAGTTGTGGTGACCAGATGGAGGCCTCAGACTGTCAAGCTCAGTGTGAATTTATAACTTCATTCATAAATTTCCCAGCAAATTGGATGAAGCAGGGATACAGTTACCTATGCCTGCAAGCGGATGTGTGCCAAAGAGGAGACATGTAAAGCACAAAAACAAAAAACAAAAACCCACAGCAAAAGAAGAAAGATTTAAGTGTTCAGCAGAGATTGTTAACACAGTCACGACTCTGGCCTTCTCTCTGAACAACCAAAGATTACCTTGATGTGCTTAACTCTGTCTTCTTTTTCTGTCTTTGGTTTCTTTCCTGTGGCAACAACAACAACAAAAAGTAGTCTTGGGTTAATTCACAAAGGATGTACGGTGAAGCATTCCTCTAAATTGAATTCTTTTTGGAACTATCAATCAATGAACCTTCTACTTTAACATGTACAAGGTCAAAATGTCCAACGGATCTTTTCCTGCCTTGGGTTTCTCAGAAGTCACTTATCCAAGGGAGGCGAGGGCAGCAGGCTCACCTGCAGTAGGAATGGAGATCCACCCCTGCAGCGACCTCACAGGTGGGAACAGACACCATGAGGCACGGCGGTACCTGCTGAGTGATGGGTTTTGCAGTCAGTAGCTGTGTTTACCTTTCTTAGAAGGCCGCTCCGACAAGGGCAGCATCCGGTATACTCTGAAGGCATTGTTTCCTTTCTTTATACTTTTATCCTTAACTTCTTCAATATCAGGCAAGGAGTTCATGGCGCATCGAAAATTTGCCTTCCATGTTTTGGGATCGGGTTTATCTACTCCAGGTTGATGCTTTCCTAACAGAGCAGCCAGAGATTAAGAAAACAGAGGGGGAAATCAGATACAGAGTGAAAGACGTCTGGAGACATAGCATTGCTGGCCAGGTGGGACAGAGAGGCCTTCTCGTTCCCAGCTACACATACAGGGAGCAATCATCTGGGTGTGCCTGGGACCACAGGAGGTCTTTGGGATGTGGGGATTTTCTTTCTAAAACCTGGACAGTTCCGGGAAGACAGAGACAAGCTGGTGACCCTGATCTCACAAAGTAGTTCAAGAGCAAACGATCACGGCAGAGGGCGCAGACTCAGTGGGAACTAACACAGAAGCCCGCAAGGCCGGGAAGCCAGCGAGCAAAGGTAACGCGAGTGCCTCTTTTCCACCCGAGTCTCACGTAAGGAACAAAAAGCCTGCTGCTGTAAATAGTTCCTTACTGACTGACTAAATTTTGTAATCAATAAAACAGCCAGGCTGCTGTCATCCATAGGTTCCCTATATATGAATTCAACCAGCCATGGAGCAAAAACATTCCAGAAAAAAAAAGTGTCTGTACGGAACACTTGCACACATTTTCCTCCTTGTCATTATTCCCTGAATAATACAGTATAGCAACCATTTACATGGCATTTACATTGTACTCGGCAGTGCCATTCAATTAGATTCATAGCATACAGGAGGATATGTGCGGGTTGCATGCAAACCCTACACCGTTCTGCACCAAAGACCGGAGCACCTGCAGATTCTGGTATCCATGAGGAATGGCTGTGAGCCCCTGAGTACCTTTCAAGGGAGAGGAATTCAATCCAAGTTTACAGCTCCGGAACAATGGAGTTTATATGTCCCTGCTAACAGCTGGGGACCTTGTCAGAACACCACCTGGACAGGAAATTTCAAGGACTATGACTGTATGGGACGGGAAGAATGTCACTTCAGAGTGATGCCATTTCTACCACTGCAAGCACTAGGGATGAGATAGGGGGCTCAGAGCGACCTTCACGATGCTGCGACCAGGACAGTTTATAAGAGTAACGAAAACCACACTGAGCAGCTTCGTCTGCCTCTGCAGACACGCAGGGAGTTTTCACACCTGTATGGATCGCCCAGTTCCTGAAGAGTGGCGCATCTTTTTCCACATCCCACCCGTGTCTCGCTGCATGCATCCAGGGGATCTGGAAAATCTTCTTTTCCTGGAGACAAAAAAAAAAAAAAAGTCAGCAAGGACTGAAGGCCTGGGTCCTGGCCCATGCTAGCAGAGGGTTCTACGTTCTACCCAGTGAGCGTCACCAAGTTTGGGGAGTGCCTACAGACACACCTACTGTAAACCAATCTCACCTCTCCACTGGTCCCTGACGTGAATGTCAGCCCTGTGTGAGATTCAGCCTCACAGAGCCTGGCAGAACGGGAATGTTTCCCAGGCCAAAGGTGAGGATCTGGGATCCCCACATGTGTCCCAGTATTGGGGCACCCACCTTCTCTTTCAGAAGACTACAAATAACTGGCCGCCAGCTGAATCTTCAATGCTGCGTCTACCATTTAATCCCATCTTGGAGGAAGTATTAACTGCAGCTGCCCTGGGTGACTTACAAATTGGCAACTTTCCAAAAGAACACTGCTTGTGCTGCTACAGGAAGGTGAGCGCATGTGAGGCCACTGTGACGAAGACCAAATATGTCCACCTTCTTGTGTCCAGCAGCAATAGAATACTCTGCACGAAGGAGCAGGCAGCACACAAGGAGGATGCCCATGTTCTAGGGAAAAGCCCTAAGACGGTCCTTGAATCAGATTCGCGCTCTCTTGCAGCCCTTAGAAACAACTCAAAATTGCTCAAATCGATACTGGCAAACACACGATCAGGAACTAATCCTTTAGAAACAAAATCATACTCTGAGTAGCATGTACCTGCGTGAAACCTGGTCCACCCCACTCACTGGCCATGAGGACCAGCAGTAAGGATCTCTGGTGCATTGTATCTTTTTTTTTTTTTTAGATTTATTTATTTATTTGAAAGAGTTACAGAGAGAGAGAGGAGAGGCATGGAGAGAGAGAGAGAGAGGCCTTCGATCTGCTGGTTCACTCCCCAATTGGCCACAATGGCCAGAGCTGCACCGATTTGGAGCCAGGAGCCAGGAGCTTCTTCTAGGTCTCCCACGCAGGTGCTTGGGCCATCTTCTACTGCTTTCCCAGGCCATAGCAGAGAGCTGGGTCGGAAGTGGAGCAGCCAGGATTTGAACCAGCGCACATGTGGATGGTGGCTTTACCTGCTATGCCACACTGCCAGCCCCGGCACTGTATCTTTGATTACACATGTCCCCAAGAGGCTCAGTTTTGCTTCTTGCAATAACCTAATGAGTTAGGTATACACGTCAACATTTCCATTTTACAGCTGAGGAAACTGATAAACAGAATTAAATTGTTCAGCCAAGGAACTTGTGGTATTGTCTAACTTCAAAACCAAGGGCATGTGATCCCACATTCCAGTACCCAATCAGCCCACACAGTGTCTCCTGGATGGAGATGTGGAAGATTCCCTGTCCTGTGACACACCTGTTGTCTTGGAGCCTGGACAGTCAGGCCCAGGGAATGATGTGTAACTTAGCTCCGCAGGTAGTTCTGATCTCCACGAGGGATGGAGGTCCCTGCACTACAGGCTGCGGAAGGAGAGGAAATGTCTGGATTCTCCATTTGGGTCTTCCACCAGCTCTTCCCAAAGGGGCTTCCCTGAAGAACCTGTCACAGAGGCCAGGTGCTGTGGTTAAGCCACCATCTGCAGTGCCAGCGTCCCATATGGGTGCTGGTTTGAGTCCTGGATGCTCCACTTCCGATTCAGCTCCCTGCTAATGCACTTGCAAAAGCAGTGGAAGATGACCCAAGTGCTTGGGCCTCTGCCACTCATATGGGAGTCCGGGAAGAAGCTCTTGGCTCCCAGTTTCGGCCTGACCCATCCCTGGCAGTTGCAGACATTTGGGGAGTGAACCATTCGATGGAACATTTCTCTCTCTATGTCTCACCCCCCCCCTCTGTAACTCTGTCTTTCAAATAAATAAATACATCTTTAAAGTAAAAAAGAATTCATCATAAAGCCTGAACTAGAGATATTTCAGGATGTTAGTGAGTTTGCCAAAAATGGCTAAAAGGGAAAATTCCACAATAATTTTTCAGTCAGTTAATAAAGAAGAACTGAAAGTGAGAGACTTTTTCACCAACTCCTTGTTGTTCCTCTGCTTCGTCCAGATAGAGAACAGGGTTTCAGATGAGCCATTTTCACACGGCAGAGATCAGCAAAGGGCCGGGTGAAACTTTATTTTTTAATGCAGACCACAATCAGAGAGCGGAATAACTAATGTGGTTTTTGGAGGTTGACATGAAAATGAGAAAGGACTGACTGCACACTCAGAATTGACAAGCTTTTGCTTACAGGCAAACTGGGAAACATTTACTGTTGGACTCTTGCCTGGGTCAGAGTTCTGGGGTAGCACACGCTGAAATCAACCTCCTAAGACATGAAGTATACCCGAGCCAGGCAGACCTTTTTAAGCATTATGTGAGAAAATCACAGAAGTCATGCCTGAACTTAGCAATATTCACTGCAGATCCTCTTGAAGTGGGAAAAAGCCCTGCACAGATCTTTCTTCAAGAACAGATACACAAATGCCCAACAAGCACATGAAAGGATGCTCAACACACTAATCATTAAGGAAATGCAGATCAAAACAGTCATGTAACACTTCACACCCACTACGATGCCGAGAATAAAATAATAATTAAAATAAAAAAACAAGTGTTGGTGAGGATGTGGAGAAACTAGGAGTCATAAGATGTAAAATGGCACAACCACTCTGCACAACAGGTTGGGCATTTCCCAAAAAGTTAAATGCGGGGTGGGCATTGTGATAGAGTGTGCTGAACTGCCTGCATCCCACCCTGGAGGACTGGTTCAAGTCCCAGTTGCCCTGCTTCCTATCCAGCTCTTTGCAAATACGACTGGGAAGCAGCAGGTGACAGCTCAAGTACTTGGGTTCCTCTCATCCATGTAGGAGACCAAGATGGAGCTCTTGGCTCCTGGCTCTGGACCAACACAGCCCAGGCTATTGTGGGCATTTGGGGAGTGAACCAGCACATGGAAGAGCACTTGCTCGCTCGCTCGCTCCCTCTCTCTTGATGCCTTTCCAATAAATAAATAAATCTTTTTAAACAAATGTTAAATGTAGAAATTACTAGATAATCCAGTAATTGCACTCCTGGTTATATGCCCAAAGAATTGCAAACAGGTATCCAAACAAAACTGATGTACAAAGGTTCCTAGCAGAACTACCCACCAAAGCCAAGAGATGGCAATAACCCAACTGCCCAGCAGCCGGTGAATAAGCAAACACAACGCGGCCTATGTACACAATGGAATATTATTCGGTCACAAAGAGGAATGAAGTGAACCTTAAAGGAATGGGTGCACCTTAAAAGCTCTATGCAGAGTGAAAGGAGTCAGACAGAAAAGGACAAGCACTGGCTGATCCCATTTGTATGAAATTCCCAGAAAAGGCAAATCCAGAGACATGGAACAGGCTGGTGGCTGCCAGGAACCGGGCAGAAGGCCACAGGGAGTGACTCCTAGTGGGGACAGTGCTTCCTCCCAACCGGATACGGAGGTTTGGGGGCCAGATGGCAATGCTGGTTGCACAAATGTGGAACTACTTAGTGTCACTCAACTGGACGCTGCATGCTCAAAATGACACGCTTTTTAAAAACCACATATCACTTTTAGCTAGTTTTTCATATTGAAGGAAAAAACTAATAAGTGTAGCATTGGTATCTTTTTTTAAAAAAAAGACCACATTGAAAGGAAGAAGGTGAGATTCATTTCACAACCGAAAGAGACTCCAGTGCGGACACAGTCTGGTCACAGACGCTGTGTTCTGTGGACAGAGATGTTGCTGCCCTTTGTGTGTACAGGCCCCGGGCCATCTTTATGTGCCAGGTGCTCAAGAGGCCTCTGGGTAGAGACTGCAGGCACCAGAGCCATTTCTGGGTACATACACATATGCGGAGACTTCAAAAAGCTCATGGAGGGGCTGGGGTCGTGGTGCAGCAGCTTAGACCACTGCCTGCGATGCTGACATCTCACATGAGTGCCAGTTCAAGGCCCATGCACTCCACTTCCGATTCAGCTCCCTACTAACACACCTGGGAAAGCCATGAAGGACAGATCAGGTAGTTGGGCCCCTTCCACCCATGTGGGAGACTCAGATGGAGTTCCGGGCTCTTGGCTTGAGCCAGACCCAAACATGGTCGTTGCAGCCATTTAGGGAGTGAACCAGTGGGTGGAAGATCTCTTTCTGTCTCTCCCTCTCTCTTTGTAACTCTGCCTTTCAAATAAGTAAATAAACCTTTTTTTAAAAGCTCATGGAAAATAGAATTAAAAGGCAAGTTGATTTTTGTGCAAAAAAAAAAAATTTGAAATCTGCTTGGTTTTTTCATGGTAGCAATTTTCTGTGAACTTTCTGGAAGCTCTTCAGTCTTACGTATTTCAGAATGCTTTGCACCAGAGTACACTGATCTTGTAACTCCATCTTCACAGACGTTCTGCAGTTCGTTCCTGAGCACAGAGCTGTGCCCGTGTGGAGGCAGAGGCGCTGAGCGCTGCTGGAGTTCACGGCTGCGTGGCTCTGTGGGGACCTCGGCTGCTCTGCACCTCTGCCTCTTCAGAGGTTCCCACTGCTCTGCTTCCTCATCTGGACTGGGTTCCCCGAGAGCTGGCTGTCTACACCAACGCAAGACTGCTTTCAAAACTGAAAGGGAGGCCGGCGCCGTGGCTCACTAGGCTAATCCTCCACCTTGCGGTGCTGGCACACCGGGTTCTAGTCCTGGTCAGGGCGCTGGATTCTGTCCTGGTTGCCCCTCTTCCAGGCCAGCTCTCTGCTGTGGCCAGGGAGTGCAGTGGAGGATGACCCAAGTGCTTGGGCCCTGCACCCCATGGGAGACCAGGAGAAGCACCTGGCTCCTGCCATCAGAACAGCGCAGTACACCAGCTGTAGCGCGCCGGCCGCGGCGGCCATTGGAGGGTGAACCAACGGCAAAGGAAGACCTTTCTCTCTGTCTCTCTCTCTCTCACTGTCCACTCTGCCTGTCAAAAAAAAAAAAAAAAAAAAAAAAAAAAAAAAAAAACAAAAAAAAAACTGAAAGGGAAAGGTCT